ACATGTTATCTTTAAGTAAATTTCATATTAATAGATATTCGAACCCGAATATGTTCGTGAACTTCGAACCGAACTTCGAACTGAACCGAACTTATCTAAATTGTTTGAAATCGAACTCAGACCCGAACATAGTTTTAAAAAAGTTCGGGTTCGGGTTCGGTTCGAAAAAAGAACCGAACTCAAACTTACCTAAAAGTTCAGTTCGTTGGGTCACTAGTGCTAACCATAGTTTGGTTTCTTGTTTTTTGTTGACTAGATGATCATTGGAAAGAGTTTTTTTGATTACACATTATAATCAATTGATTGTGTATACATATATTAATTAATAATTAATAATCTAAAATACTTTCATATATCAAATTAATTGCATATTGATGCTGCTAAAAGAGAATCACGCTTTTAGCTTCATAATTTATAATTTATCAGACTCATTATATTTGATTTTTAGATATTGTATCCGGTAAATTTTAAATTTAAAAGCTTGGATTGTGGTTTTCCTTGTTATATGTTGCATGAAATTGGAAACTATCGCTATAGTATATTATGACAGATGAATATAGATAATGCAAGTTTATTTGTAGACAAATATAGAAAAAGCAAGTTTTTTTGTAGACAGATGCAAGTTTATTTTGACAGACGCAAATGATCAATGATGTAATATGAAAGATAAATAAATAGGAAAAATTCGATCATAAATTATTGAATTTTTTGCTTTGAACGTCAAAATTTTTTTACATACATAAGATTTACATATAACAATGCATAAAATGAAAATACCTACTTTACGCACTCGGAATAGAAAACAGAAAAAGGACAATCCACATTTAAAGCTTTGCAAACATCATGTTAACATTGAAGCAGAAATAGATGACACAAGTCAATATTTATTACATAACTTTCCTGCAGTTATTATTAGAAACGCTTTCCCATCATCTGATATTATATTCGAAGAAACAGATGGTTATCTTTCAAATGAAAGTGTTAATAGCCAGCATCATCAATCCCACCAGGACGATATCCAGAGAAATACTAGTTCAGATGACTACGAGAATGATAGTTAAGGTCAAGATGACGTCCAAGATAATGCTAGCAAGATAATTCAGGAAAATGATAGTCAAGATGATGTTCAAGGTAATGATAATCAAGTCTAGGAGAAATATAGCCAAGATGATGTTCAA